CTTCGATTCTCTAATAAATATCTTGAGTTCTTTCTATAAGTTCATTTATTGTCAACTATTGCTTTCTTGATATATTTCTGGTTTGGTTCTTTTCTAATATATATACTTCAACTATTTCACTATGTATATAACTATCAAAACTATACTCTTCAAACATCTTCTAGAATTTTCTCCAAGCATTGATTATTAACAGTTTTGTAGCACTATATATGTGCTTATGAAAAATATAGTGGCAGAGTAATAAATACCAAAGATGAAATTAACAATAACAGTTAAGAGATATTAACCCTAGTGTAGCTTTACCATTTTTGACTCTTTTTTTTACAGCACGAGCTTTATCAGTAAAAAGTTGGATAGAAAAAATGAAATTATACAATTCATCAAGAATTTCAAAATTTAAGCCAGCAACTAAAATTTTCTTAATACAAAATTTAAAGCTAACATACTCTAAATCCAAATGTTTTTTCTAATTAAATGCAACTACTCTATTATATACTCCTAGTAGTAAATGAAAGAATAAAGCTATCAAAAATGCATAATTATTAAATAAATAGAAAAAAAATAAAAATAAACCAAAAAATAAAAATAAATAAAAAAAAATAAAAAGGCATTAAGCAAACTTGTTGTCAACAAAGCCTACAATACATGAAACACTGAGAAGCAGGTGTATAAAAATATTAGGCAGGTTTGTACCTTGGGTCAGGTTTTCCTTTCTTTGACGAACTCCTTAGTACATTCAGCATCCAAACTAGAAGATTTATTCTAGAAACAAGTAGAGCAGGAGTCTCTGAGCAGAAATATCAAGTAGATACTAGAAAACTAGACTATATAACTGTAAAACTTACAAGAAGAACCTCATATATTCTCATTAGCCCACTACTTTTTTTTGAGAAAAATTTGTAAAAAGTAGACGTTTTAGCTTACTCCTCCAAAAGATCAATATATTGTTTATTTACTAAATTGGTTAGCATTATTTATCTTTTTTCTATCACAACCAACATGTAGATACTTATAGAATGTGAACATATAGATTATGTGCCTCGAAAGTGACAATCTAAATAAATGATGCTTTGAGACCAAATAGTGTAACTTTTCAACCTCTCTACAGTACTGGTAGTAGAAGTTAATTTTTTGATAAGCTCTTGTGAGCTATTTTCTTAATAAGATGCCAATGTTAAAGAAGCTATTTTTTTTTCTTTATAGTTTTTGCTTAAATATACTAAATAGATGAATTAGAGTAAAGACTAGTTTAGATAATAGTATATTTGAGCTTCCTCTTTCTCTTTCTATAACTAATGGTAGCTAGTCTTAAATTAATTTACAAATAGAAAATTAAGAAGTGTTTTGCTACATTTAAGCAGTTATACAGAATAAAATAGATAGTTCAAAATTAATATCATCTTGATACAAATCTGTAACTAATCTTATCATGAATACAGCAAATTCAAAAAAAAAAAAAAGATAGTAGTATGTAATTTTTACAAAGCCTGACACAGGCTTATAATTGTGACTGTCCAGTATAGGTGAAAAATCCTATATTTTTCTTTTTTTTGTTCTTCCCTTACTTCTTTTTTTCTTGTTTATATCTTTTATTGTATCCTTCTATAACTCTGTTTTTTTTATATATAGTTTTCTTTTTCTTTTCACTTTCCTACGAAAAGATGTCATCAGATTAGTGATATCCTATTATAGAGCAGTGAGTTGGACAAGCTCTCCAGTTAGGGTATTACCTTTTGGTTTTATCTCGCTGGTGCAGCATGTTGCTTATGGGTGCTCAGATAGCATTTAGTTATATTACAGTAGCTATAAAATGTCAGAGCAGAAGTTTTATTAACATAAATCTTCTACAAGATTGATTTGAATAAATATAGGTTACTGGTGCGATTTTGACTAAGTGAAAAAAAATAAAAATAAAAATAATATCAAAATTCATTCTAGAAAAAAGCTAACTTGTTAACTAAATTAATAAATAAAAAAAGATACTTTTTTTATTTAATCACATTGCTTGAATATTATCTAATTTGTTAAAAGGAACTTATTTGATTATATTATTGTAAGTTGTAGCTTTAGATTCAAGCCTTAATATGATATAGATTCATCTATTTTTTTAAAGATCATTAGATTAAAATATTGCATATTTTCTATATACTTATTTTGGTCTAAACCAGCTTTTTCAAATGCTCATTCATTGCTTATATACTTATATTTATTATTCTTTAATTGCATGTAACCACAGACTTATACAAAAATAAATAAATATTCATGATTATACAAATATATACAACCAAATTTACTTACTTAATTTATGTTTTTTTATAATCAGAACACATTTCAAAATATACCTTATATGTATAATAGTATATTTTCTTATACATCCTATTCATCCAAAACTGCTTCTTCATAGTTATAAAGAAGTATTAATATTTATAACCAATACTAGATAATTTAAAGTAAAATAATATGTAAAACATCATAAAACATATAAGTGATACCAAGAAAATATTAGACTTCGAACTTTTAAATTTGTAACTTATTTTAAAAAATCTGTAAAGTTAAGTTCAGTAAATTATAGTTAAAAGTCCAAAGTCTAGTTTTTTTTGTACTACTATAAACAAAAAAATAAAATTAGATTGTCATCCTTTCTTTTTATATTAAAACAATAAAATAAAATAAAAATAGATATATGTATGTGTATTATATACTATATATATGTATTTTATTTTATTTTTTTTTAATCTTCAAAGGTGAAGTCATGCCTCTATCTTTATTAAAATCTAATTAAACTTCTTTACAAATAATTAAATAAAGAAATTATATTATTTGAACTTTATATCTATAAGATGCTAAGACTAAAGACTCAGACAGAGCCCTTGCTAACTCAAGAGTTATAGGAGTTATCTGCAACTTAAATTTAATATATATATTTTATGTAAAGATCATATATCATAATAGAATAACAACCCTTTTATTATTTAATCATAATTATAAATATTATAAATTAATTAATTTTTTATTAATTTAATTGATGATCTGCAAGTCATATGAAGAATGATCATAATGTAACATAATACAAATCATATATAAAAATTACTATAGGCAGAAATACAGCGTGCAGCTAAGGAAAACTTTTTTTATATTAAGTTAATCAATCTTCTATATTAAAAGAAAGTCTACAACTTTCTCTTAATATAGAAGATCAATTAACTTAGTACAAAAAAGTTTTCCTTAGCCACACACTGTATTTCTGCCTATAGTAATTTTTATATATAATTTGTATCACATTATACTATAATCATTCTTTACATGACTTGCAGATCATAATTAATATAAAAAAATAAAATAAAAATATATTAATAATAAATAACTTACAAAACTCTATTTCTACATAATTTATTTAATAATTTAGCATTTGTGTATTTCATATAATAATATATATAAGATTTGATAAAAAAGTTTCATAAAAATTCACAATATGGGGGTGAGTCAATAGAAATCAAGCAAATCGATAAATCCCTAATTTGGAGATAATTCAATTTTTGTATCATACTTAGTAAATCCAATCGATCTAATTCGAAAGATTGTAAAAGATGGAAGATCGGTGATCAAAAAAATTGAGTCAGTAGAAATCAAGCAAATTTATTTAATGAATTTGCTTGATTTCTATTGACCCAGTATTTTATAGTACATATACAGTAGTAAATCGTAGTAAATCGTAGTGAACCTAATATTTGTTTTAGCTTGCAGCAAGAAACTTTTATTTATTTTGACAGCTAAGCAGTTGTGCTAATATGTTTGGCTGAAACCCGATTTGTGTCTTCACGAAATTTTTAGGAAGTTCTACTTAAGACTATTCAGACTTGTCAGGTTTTTTTTTGTATTGCAATTAGTTTTCAGGTATTATATCGTTATTTAATCACGAAGTTGAATTTTCTTTTGGATTTTTATATCAGTTATAAGTTTCAGAGTTATTCATTTTTAGGTATTATATTCAATCACGAAGTTGAGTTTTTTTTGGATTATAAGTTTCAGAGTTATCCGTTATGTTTTTCAGCAATTCCAAAATGCTTCAAAAATAAGTTTATTGATTTTTAATTTTTATTCAGAAATGCTTTTGTTGTGAAAGCCTTGATATTGAGCTGACTTCTTTACTCATTAAAACAAAACTTGAATAGAGGAAGGTTAATTTATCACTGTACATTCTATGTTATTATGAGTTCAAAGAACCTTGTTACGGCCTAGATTGGAGAGTAACGCATTGTAACTGGAGTTATGTAAGATAGGTGTTTTAAGTCAGATTTAGGATTAATTAAAGACAGAGTAGAATTGTTATGTTATAATAAACGTATAATGTGTATTGCATCTTTACTCTTTCTTTTATAATTAAAAAGAGATCATATATAATTAGCATACAATTATAAAATACTGATTTTAAAAGTAATAAAATGTAATAAATCATGAAAAATAAAAATCATAGAATCAGCCAAATTTGAAAAATTACAAAAATATTTATAAAATGCCTTTATTCAATAAAACTTTTTGTATATTTTATATCACTATTATATTTTAATATTTGAAATAAAATACAGAAAATAAGTGATCCCAATTGATATAGGCTAAATAAAATAGCTGATTAATGTGCTAGATAGTTTAATTTTTCGTATACTATCTAACTAGCTTGTAGAATACAAAATAGAATTCTTCATTTATTCAGTCGTTCTAATTAAAAGTTTCATGCAATCATAATCTCATTATTGAATTGTTGGATTTTATGTTTGTTTAAATTATATGACCCTGCTAGTAACATTAAAAATTAATTAGTAAAGTGTCTAAAATCTATATCAAATAATACAAAAAATCTAATTACTTTTTAAAAAAAATTAGGGGTTAGTTTCATGAATTTTTGCTTTCTTTGGTTTTGGTTGGATTGGTTTGGAACAATATATATCACGTTTTGATGGGTCCTGAATATGCGACCGTATTTCTTCATATAAGTATCATTTTTACTCTAAACTAATTCTGTGTGCAGGTATTATCTCTGGAAATGAATTTTTAATATTAGAAATTGAATCCATTCGCACAATATTGATTTCTTTTGATACATCATTATAAGATGTCCAGATCTCCACTTTTTCAGCATTCTCATTAGTAATTATAAACTGATGTTGTTTGAGAATTGACAGTATTGTTGTAAAAAATTGATCTAGAAATTTGGTCCACTCAACATCTGAATTGTGTTGTCTTATGAAATCTGTGAGAAATTGTGGTCTTTCTCCTGCCATTTTGCGAATAATTTGATAGAAACTCGCTTTAAGAGGTTTGCGGTTTCCTGT